AAAGTTTTCTTTGACCATCTCCAGTTTGCCTAAAAATAGTATAATCCAAAATATGGAAATGTATAATTAAATGAAAACTATATTATACACATTTAAGTTATAATTAGAATAACAATATTCCAGTAATTTTTTGGTACAACTTGTAATAACAAGAGTCCTAAAAAGGAAAGTACATTTTAAGAATTTGATGTTATAAAGTATTCTGCAAGTTTCTTTTGCATTATTGTGAACTACAAGTATATAATACTCAAAAATTGTATTTTGCAGTGTGAATTTATTTATTAGTGTTTGCTGAAATATGGACAATCTATTTTGAATTTTTCTCATAGGTAAACTGGACATTATTCAGATATGTTTCCATGTAGTTACAATTTATTTGTAAAAATATAATGCTTTTAACTGTAACAGTTTTTGAGGTTTACATGTTCACAAGTACACAAAACATGTTGGAAGTGGGATTATAGACTATTAATAAAAATAAAGATGTGCTTGTTTACACGAATAAAGCTAACAAAGGTTACTTTATATGCAAATCGGAGATGATCGAGCAGAATGGCTGTGATGGTTTGAGATGGAGTGATGTAAAGTTTTTGTTTTGTTTTTGTTTTAGACCATCATGAGCATTAGTAATTAAAATCTTAATAAAATTTTTAAATAAGTTAGTGAAGCAATATGACTAGGCAATGTTTTGTTTAAATAATTACCTCAAATGTGTAAAGCATGTTGCTCCTGTAAAAGATTAGCTCAAAACGCTAAACTTCTGTGCTTGTGCTCCCTTTCCTGTCTCAGATACACTCAGCCCCCAACAGATTTGTTTGAATGGTATGACGGCTTCCTGGATGATGAGGAGGTATGTCACCTCGGGTAATAATTTCATGTTTCTTTCTCCTTCTCCTTGAAATGCACAGTTGAACGTCACTCATAAAAAGCTGTACTCCCCCACCCACCCCCTTGTGATGCTCATAGCTGATTTTTCACCTTTGCCTTCATTTGGCTTAATTGTCCCCAGTTTTTGTCCTCTAAACCTGAGTAGCTAGGTTACTTTTGCTCACTGCTCTGCTGCTGATTTTTATCGGGGTAAGTACCACACGTGATGCCGAGTAAATCTTTTAGTCACTGTAATTTTAAGGCATGCCCTCTGTTTTCTGACAAGCTTTTGTAAGGACTTGTTGCACAAAACTACATTTGGGATAAACCGCAATTGGAACACTGGCAAGAAATAAACACTGTGTTATTTAATGCATGTAAAATATTTGCTTACGTTAATTATTTTCATATTTAGGTGAAATCTAATTTTATCCCAGGCTGTGCAACCAGGCCTCCTCTGATGTTCTTTTGCATTATATTTGAATTGAATAATTCTGAAATTCTACCCAACTGGTTAATTCCCCTGTTTTTTTCTTTAGATGCCCATTGTGCAGCAGGTGAATTGGATATTGTATCTCAGCACTGTTGGTTTGCGTGAGTGCAAAGTGGCTGTTCTCTACCATATAAAATTGATAACTATTCAAATGGTGTGCACTTACCTACCTGCTCCAATCTGTGCTTACACTGTGGGCAATTTTTATTCTCTTTGAGCGTTCATTATGCTTTTGGGAGATTGAAGAAGGAAGCTAAAGCTTCTTTCTCTTTTTTCCCTTTAGCACAATGACAGTGTGCCCCAATGTTTCACTCTTTCTTTCCTTCATATTTAAGTTAAAGTTATAGTTTATAGTTAAACATTAGCACTTTTTTGAAGATGCTGTCAAGGATATGAAGGATGGGCATTGCGTCGTATAAATGTACTGACTTTTGCTGCATAATTAAAGCTCACTCTGCAAATACAGACACAAGGAAATAACAGACAGGTTAGGTGAGACCAGACTTTTAAGATATTCAGAGCTGTGTGTCCACTATTAATAAGTAAGGCCAGGCACATTTGATTGGTTTTTGGTCTTTGATGAGAGATTAAGCTAGATGAACAGAGGTGAAGGTTCAGTGCTTGGTCATCACAAATTGCTTTTCGATGTGAGGCAAGATTGGAAAAAAAAATATATATTTGTCAATGTACTAAATTTGTGTGCTAACTGAGTTTTTTTTCTTTTTCTTGCTTTATTTCCCCCCACCATTTGGTTTTAGGAGCTCGACGTAAAAGCAGGAGGTGGTTGTGTGATGACCATTGGAGAGATGCTGCGCTCCTTCCTGACCAAACTGGAGTGGTTTTCCACACTGTTCCCCCGTATCCCAGTGCCTGTGCAAAAAGTTATTGACCAGCAAATAAAGGCAAGGCCACGGAAGGTACCTCAGAAGGAGACGCAAGAGGACGAGGACGGGTTTGCAGAGTCGGGAAGGCAAGGAGAACGCCGGCGCTCCAGGTAACGGCAGTGATTCAAACTAAGTGTTTCTACTGAGCTGTAGACTTCTCGGCAGGTTATAGCTTTCATGGAGCAATAAACGGGACAGATTTAAGTCCTGCAGTGTGTGAGCTGTTGACTTGTTTTCATGTTAACTTATTTTTCTGCCCCTTAGGTTGTTTTTTTTTTTTTTATAACTAAAGAAAAAGAAAACGTCTTTCTTATTATTTCTCTCTTTAATGCCAATTACTAATAAAAGCATTTTAACAGTATAAATTGTCAAAATTAACTACATATAAAAATTGTAATGTTCACAAAGGAGGTTTTTGCTTTCCACAAGGACTTTGATCATGAAATGTTATATAAGCTCAAAATACACGAGACACGTTTGTTAATTAAATGGCTAAAAGTAACAGAAAACATGCAAACCTCTGTTAAACAGGTAGAACAGTCTCTTACCTTTAACTTTGTATAGACCAGTCATGCATGTGCATAATCAACAATAAAGGGACATTATTGGGTTATGAAAAAACCAAGGGATAGGTATTAAAGATGTTCATGGTATATTTGTAGTCTGAATGGACACATCAGATATAAAAAAATTGCGGATTTAGAAGAAAGAAGGATTGCATAACTGAACTGCCACAGGACTGAAGGAGCTCCTTTGATATTTAGTGGGGCATTTAGATTTCATTAGTCTGTCCTTGTGTGTGTCTGACTTGCCAGAACAGTGTGTGTTGTGTGTTTTAAAGAATCCATGTTGCCAAAAAAAAAAATCCGATATGCACAATAAAGTTAGAATAGGTCATATTATTTAAATCTTAAGAATATGTATACGGTATGTGGAGGGTATTTTGCTGGGGTCCAAGCAATATATGTGTACTGGGAAATGGGGAGGTCTCCTCTGACACCCCATAATGATCTCACCATCTCAGATAACTTTGTTTACCACTACTGTCGGTGACATCAGCCTTTGCTAATGCTGACATGCCCATGGAAACAGACACTGCACTATAAATAAGGCTACGTATTCTGCATATGAAACATCCTCATCTGTATATCAGTTTCAAATATCTGAACTCTGCCATGACTAAAAATACCACAGTCTTTTTAAAAAAAAGTTGTGTGTCAGTTAAATGTTAAAACGTAAGAGTTTGGAATTGTGCTCGTGTGGTTTTGTTTTTGAAGTAAATGGTTCTAAGATGATTCTGTCGCTGTTTCCAGGACACCCAGGCGGACACCGAGCCCCCGTAGGTCGCCCAAACGGTCCAGGAGCAGGAGCCACCATCGCGAGAGAGAGCGCCACGGGCCCAGCTTTGATCGAGAGCTGGAGAGAGAGCGTGACCGGCAGAGGAAGGAGAGGGAAGGCAGGGACCGAGACAGGGAGAGGGGGGACAGAGGGGACAGGGAAAGGCGACGCTCCCGTAGCGCGGACAGAAACCGAGAGCGCAAGAGAAGCCACAGCGGTAGCCGGGACCGTAGGAGCGAGCGCAAGGAGAAGGAAAGGGACGGCGGGGATGACAGGAGCAGGAGGAAGGACAGGGATCACCATAAAGACAGAGGCACTGAGAGGGAGAGGTCCAGGGATAAGAAGAGCAGGGGAGAGACTGACGACCGCAGGCACAAGGACGATAGGGAAAGGCACAGGGACGAGAGGAAGGCCAAAAGGTCCAGCCGGAGTCGAAGCAGAGAGAGGAGACACAAAAGTGGGGCAGAGGAGAAGAGCAGGAAACGGGAGCGCAGCCACAGCAGGGAGAGGGACAGGGAGAGAGATGGAGAACAGCGCTCTCACAAACGCAGTCGCAGCAAAGAGAGGAGCCACCATCAGCGAGAGTCCAGCAATGACCATAGTAGACATAGAAGCAGTCCGAGCATCGAGTAAATGCTGCCTTGCAGCAATATTACTTGTGTTTTTCCTCCTCTTTTTCTATATTCGGCTGTCTGCTCTGTCACTTGTGCTAAAAAGAAGGAACAGTTGCACATCGGACATTTGGATTTGTCGTCTATGGCTGATGTTGCTTTATGTTTTTCCGCTATTTCACTCCCCATTAGACCATCGTTAGTCTTCACTTGAATTCTGGAAAGTGGAAAAAAGGCATTTTAATTTTTAATTTTTTGTTTTGATTTGTTTTGTTGTCCCAGAAAGATGGGGGTTTGTACATAATTTCCAAGGCTGTCTACACGCTGCACATGGGCAGAGTTGGACTTCCTGCTGGGCCGGATGCCTTCAGTGCTATACTATCGCCATGTAGATTACACGATTCATGAAAAATGACTGTAATTACTTTCAGCCTGTGCAAAAGACCACATGTGGTTACTCTTAAAATTTGTCTGATATGCCTCTGTACACAAATGGTTGAAGTTCAACACTTAACATGAAGGCCATGTGGCTCAGCTAAAGCAGAACAGTTCTGTCCGTGATCACGTGTAGACGTCCTGAGAGCGTTTTAATCCTCTCAAATGCGGTCCGCAAAGGGTAATTTTTACAAAACACACTTGAGCCCTGCTTGTGTTGTGTTTCAGTTATTGCTCTGTTGCATTTTGTTTTCTAATAAAACACTTTAAAAAAAAAAAGAAGAAGAAAAAAGCAACGGGTCGTTTGTACAACTCACACGTACACATAAAGAAGCTGAAAGAAAATATTTTCATTATTTTATTAGAATGTAGTCTGAAAATTATTTGCATGTTAAATACACATTTAGCAATGATGATAATTTACAAAATGAGAATTAAAAAAGCAGGAGGAACATGCAACTTCAACCAGCAGTAGACATAAACCCATCTTTATAAAGAGTTTTTAATATAAGCATGAACTGGAGGACAGAGCCTTTTATTCTAAAGACAACTACTTTATTATCAGTGGGGAAGCTAATGCTGAATGCATCTCATGGTACACGAGCAGAGCAACCCACATTAATTCCCACAATCTAATGTGCTTGTGTATTGTGTGTTAAGGATTTGGCATCTAAAAGTGGAACCATTTTTAAAAGGAGAGGTGTGGAGGCCTCAGAAGTGCCTTTTCTGTTTACTGTGGAAGCCTGCTCTCTGTCCGCACACATACGGGCTCAGACTCTGGCCCACTAGCGTCTGCGTAAATGGCCAGCACAGAGATGCAGTAGGTGGCGTTTGGTCTCATATCAGTGAGCATGATGCTCTCCCCGTACACCGTCAGCTGCTGGTGCTCGTGGGACCTGCTTTGCTTTATAACCAGCAGGCTGTAATAAGAAGCACCCTCCACCTTAGACCATGTGATGGAAATGACTGTTGATGTTATGTGTGTGACATCCAACACGGGAGCTGAGATGCTTCCTGATGGAGAGAGGGAAAAAAAAGTTCTGAACAGAGTCCCGGAGGACTTAGAACTTCAGAGTGTGATGAAGCTGGTAGACGTGGAAGTTAATTCTTATAAAGCTCTAAAATCAAAACTAAATAGAATAAAATCCAATGAATGTAAACTCACCATTCAGTGACATCTGTTCTTGGAGATCTCTTCTCCTGCGTGCGTGCGTCACCACTAAAGACAGAAGATCAGTTTAGATCTTAATTATTCATTTTTAAACTTGTCTTAATTGTCACCACAAAGCTACTGAACCGTACTTTTTGTGACATTTATTGCTTCACTTTCTCCAGCGGCATTGCTGGCGGTGATCGCGAGATCGCTGGAAGCGATGTTGGACAGAGAGCAGGACAGCTGTGCAGTGCTGCACAGCTGGACCTTTGGCGTTATGCTGTTGTCATACACCGTGTAGTTGACGGCAAACACTGAGGCGTTCCACGAAACTGTGGCAAAGGAGCTGTTTCCAGTGTACACCACACCCGATGGTGGACAAGGAGCTGAGAGAGAGAAATGGGATTTAAAGAAGTTCATTCATTTTTTTATTTAAAAAGAAAGAAAGAAAGAAAAAAAAATACAAATAGCTCATATGATTACTAGTTACACCAGATTTTGTGAGGACACATGAAGCACCTGTGTAACTGCAGTGAACAACAGCTCAAATCTGGGGTGTAATCTACCTGTTGTTCCATAAACAGGCATGGATGTGTCGCTCATGCCTGCAGCATTCCTGCTCTTCATTGTGGCGCTGTAATTCGAACTGCAGACGAGAGGAAACTCAAAGTATGTCACATTTGTCCAATAGGAAGAAAGCTCGAACAGGGCCTGGCTGTCTCCCAGCAGACTTCCTTTCAAAGTGAGCATGTAACCGGTGTCGCCACAGGTAATCTGTTTCCAGCTGAAACGCATCACCTCGATCTCGTCCTGCATTGGGAAAAGCTGCACCTCAGCAATAGCTGGTGGACAGGGAACTAAGAGAGGAGGAGTCAGTAACAGTAATGTGAAAAGTTACTCAGGGTTTGACGAATATGAAGCTCCTTTTTTACCTGCTTCAATCTGCACAGGATCACTGAAGGAGCTGTTGCATGTCCCGTCTGAGGCCTGGACAGAGAAATTGTAAACAGTTCCGCAGTCGAGGCCATTGATAACACAGCTGGGGTTTGTGCTGTGACAGTAAAGCATGTCTTCATTTCCAGCCTGAGCACAGCCGTAGTAGTCTTTAGCTGGTCCACTGGGAGTCCACGTCAGCGTCGCGGACTGATTGCTACACTGGTACGTAACTGAGAGTCCACTTGGCTGGCAAGGACCTGGGTAAAAGGAGCAATTAAGATGGTGTAAGTCTTAGAGTGCTAATATTAGTTATATTCTTCAGTCATTTTTGGTACTAATATCATACAAGTCCGAAAACAAATACCTGTGTTCAGTGTTACATTCTGACTGGCTTTGCTGGAGCAGTTCTCATGGCCAGCTGTCACAAACACAGTGTACTGCTCATCACAGTGGAGCTCTGATAAGCTGCAGTTTGTGGAGCTTGTGTTGCAGGTATGCGTGTGTCCATCTGCAGCCTCAGCGACAACGTGGTAGGTTTCAGCACCTGGAGACGGAGTCCAGGACACCACCGCCATGTGATGCTCACAGGCAGCGTTCACACTCACGTCTGTGGGTGGACAGGGCTCTGTGGAAAAAGACGAGTCAACATAAATACACAAAGGCCAGGTGATGGGTTTTTAGTTACTTAGATTTAGTAGCTTTTAATTATCTGTATCTGCTGTATTTAAGCTATGATTTTGGCTGTATTACTAAACCACTTTGTTGGGGGGGGGGTTTTCTTGCTAATTTATTTAAAAAATACTTGTCTACTTCCAGTCTTTAAGCTGAGGTAAGCTGCATATCTGTTAACTTAGAACTTCCAAACTTGATGCACTTTTTGACAGAAAATAAACATGAAGACGTACCCATGCTAACTTTGGAGGGAGGACTTCTCATACTGCTGCAGGCGTCCGATGAAGCAGCTACGCTGATGGTGTACTGAAGGCCACACTGTGCTTCCAGGAGGGAGCAGCTGGTGCCGGTGTTATTGCAGGTCAACAACGTGTAATCACTGGCTTCTGCTGCAGCAGTGTACACAGTGTTTCTCTCACTACCCTCCATGAGATCCCACATAACAAGGATGGAGGAGTTGTGACACTGGGGGACAGCAGTGATAGCAGAGAGGGAGCAGGGGGCTGAGAATGAAGCAGATGTTGATAAGTTCAGACTGTGGCACGAGTAATTAACTGAAATGAGAAAACACAGCTCTTACTGAAGTACCTGTTTCCAAACTGATGGGGGCACTGGGCTGACTCTCACACTCGCTGTTTTTGGCCAATACGCTGAAGTTGTAAAGCACACCACAGGCCAGGTCTTTCATCTCACACGTCATGTTGGTAAAGGTGGTGCAGTTGGCTCTGTAGTCATTTCTACCTACAGCTACACCGGACACAGTGTAGCTGTCTGCCCCGGGAGCATCAAGCCATGATATCCAGGCAGAGTTGGTCACACAGTCAACGCTGCCCATGATCCCCTGGGGCTGGCAGGGAGCTAAAACACATAAAGTTGATTTGGTGATTGGTTGGAAGGATCCATGCAAGCCAGCGTAGTTTGTCAAGTGTTTTTTTTTCTTTGAAGCTTGAATTTAAAATCCTTCTCCTCTTATACAAGATCTTGAATAATTAGGCTCCATCTTATTTTGAAGACCTTATAGTTCCACAGAGCACTTCGCTCTCAGACTGCAGGTTCCTAGAGTATTTAGAAGTAAAATGAGAGGCAGAGCCTGGATTTAGGAGACAGACACCCTGTCTGTTTAATATTAGGCTTAAAACTTTCCTTTCTGGTAAAGCATATAGTTAGGGCTGGATCAGGTGGCCCTGAATCCTCCCTTAGTTATTACACCTAAGCTGCTGGGGGGCCACTATATATATAAAGTGCCTCGAGGTGACTATTGTCATTTGGCGCTTTAGAAATATTGAACTGAACTGAAGTTGTCTAACCTGACTGGATGCTCTGGGTCTGACTGTGCACGCTGCGGCAGTGTTCTCTGACAGAGGTCACCTGGACTGTGAAGGTTTTTCCACATGTGGCATTGCTGCTGAAACATACAGTGTTTGTGGTGTTGCATAACTCGCTTTCGCCATTCTCAGCAGCTAGTGAAACCAAGAAGTGGTCAGCATCTCCGATGGCTTCCCAAGAAACTGTCAGATCGTTTGACGAACAGTCGACCTGGGTGCTCACGTTCTGAGGCGGGCAGGGGACTGAAAACATGACAACAGTTTGAATACACAGCTGAATGCTTTAAATTGCAAACATTTGATCGCCTGCACAAAATTCATATTTTAAAAGTGCTTTAGGCTCTGGTCACTGGTGTTGTTTCTCTTACTTGAGTTGAATTTCAGAGGCCAGCTGGGGACGCTAGAGCAGCTGTCACCCATAGCTACAACGTGAACGGTGTAGAGGCTGCCACAGGTGAGGTTGTTGAGGCTACAGCTAAGGCCAGCGGTCTGACAGCTGTCATTATTAACATGGCCACTGTGGGCCATGACTGAGTACTTTACAGCACCCTGACTGGAAGCCCAGGACACAACAGCAGTGTTGTTAGCACAATCCATCACCACTGAGACGTCAGTGGGAACACAAGGTACTGAAGATAAAGCAGACACAACAAACAGGATCAGTCACTCAGTGTGGAGAGCATCATGAGCAAAAACCTCAGTATACAGCAAAATGATTACTACTGCTACACAACACCTTAACTATGCTGACTTTACATATTTAAAAGCACAGACTGTAGAAATAATAAAGCTTGTGTCCATCCCCTCACACCATAACTAGACATTGTCACACTTTTTCCTTGTTCAGGCTTCCTATGATTGGACAGCCTCCCAGCACTGACTAGATGCTTGGAGACCAGCAGAGGAAAAGTGGGAGTCTCAGAAAGGTTTGTTTGCCCAGTGACCACAAAAACATGTCACTTTCCTCACCTTTAAATTCTAACAGAGAAAAAAAAATCCTTTCAAATATGAAAACAGAATTAAGAAATGAAGTTTAAATATAGCAATGAAAGCCTGCGTTTCCTGCTCTAGTAGCCATGCAATCATCACCTGATTGCAGACTTGTGGCTGGACCGGAGGTGACGTCACACTGCTGGTTGGAAGCTGTGACGGAGACAGAGAAGTTCTGTCCACACATCAGGTCAAGGAAGCTGCACTTATTAGTGTCTGACATGCACATTTTTGACACGCCGGTGTCAGTCTGCATGGTGGCTGTGTAGACATCTGACCCATTACTAGGCTGCCAGGTTACCACAGCAATACTAGTAAGACAGTCCTGGCTGGCGGAGACTCCGATGGGTTTGCATGGCCCTGGTATAAAAACATATAAACTCAGATTAGAGCTCACTTCTCCATTATGTGTGGTTGGTCAAAACTGTGTATCTGAACAGTACGCACAGGTCTGCACAGAGACTGAAGCGCTCGAGTTTCCAGGACAGTACCAACTGTGAGGTGTGATTTTGATGCTGTATTTTTGTCCGCAGGTAAATCCAGTGAAGCTGGCTGTGGTCATGTTAGTGTTGAGACTGACTGACTTGTTTCCCGCCTCAGCGTAAACCGTGTACATCTTTGCCCCACTGCTGGCATCCCAGCTCAGAGACACCACTTTCATATCACAGTTCACAGTGGCAGACAAATTCTGGGGAGCACAGGGGTCTGGAAAGAAACAATGATCTGATAATGTTTCTTTTACTTGTGCAAATTTCTAAGAAAAACTGTAGAAACTGCTGAACAATTACAGACATGAGATGATGTATTCTGACTTCATTTCACTTTGTTTTCATTTGTCAATATCATACCCATGTGGATGATTGAGCTGTTGCTCGGCAGACTGGTGCAGTTGTTGCTCTTTGCTCTCACTACAACACTGTACTCCTCCCCACAGTGCAGGTCGCTCCAGGTGCAGGAGGCGGTATTGCTTATGCAGTGGTGAGTGTGGCCGTCGAGGCCAGTGGCTACAGCAATGTATGTTTCAGCTCCATCAGTTGGCTGCCAGCTGACGGAGCCCACGTCAAACCCACACTCTGCGTCAGTTGCCAAACCCCTTGGTATACATGGAGCTGTGTCCCAAAAAGGAAAACAAAACAAAACAGTCAAAACATAAACGTTAAAATAATTTGCATATGATGTAGAAAAAGTCCCACCAGTTTTGAAGAAGGTGGGACTGCTGGGGATGCCATTACACATGCTGCCCTGTCCTCGAACAGTGACATTAAAGTCCTGTCCACAAGGCAAAGAGGCTCTTAGAAGCGTTTGGTTTGTGCTGTAAATCTTCATCAATCCGTCGCTGCCGCTCACTGTAACTAAGAAACTCTCAGCACCACTCGCCTCTTGCCAGGAGATCTTCATCTCATCGGACTCACAGAGCACCTCAGCAGAAACATTTGTAGGTGGACATGGCTCTGTAAAAAGAGAGAAAAGAGTTCAAATCTTCATTTTTTACATCATAGTTGATGAAAACTAGGTTTAGTTAATTAAAACAAAATAAAAGCTAGACTTTAGAAAGAAAAAACATTAAAAATATAGAGGAAATTCTTAGCTTTAGGCTTTGTTAATTTAGTAAAAGCTGTTATGGCAACTTGCCCAATGAGGCTTTGATGGACATGTTTACTGGCACTTTGGTTGACTCCCAAGACTGTGAGTCAACTGCCTTTAAAACATTCTGTGTTTTTATTGTAATACATGTGCCAAATCTTGCCTCTCACATATGTCCTCCATCTAAATGTTTAAAAAGATCAACACAGATATAAATACGCAAACAAGCAAACCCACTCTGGAAAATAACTGAAACTCATCTGAAGGTCAAAATGAAATTAAAATAAAAAATAATTAGACAAAAAACGAATGCAAAAATAATAACTCTGCCAGTAAAGATGTCCGATTAATCGATAAATATTTCTTACTTTAAACTTCAGCGTCTGATTTAAAGGGACTGTGTATCCCTGCATCCTGTTTTTACATGTAAGCCTCTAAACTTTTTGTAAAGAGGGTTGTACGATATAAAAATACAGTTTTTATTCCCGAACTTATTTTTACGTGATTAGAGTAATGAATATCTTCAACTCTAAAATGAACTTTAAGTATCAAAATCGACCCTTTAGAGTCTTATTATGTAAAAATGTTCTATGACTGTTTTACTGCTGTTGATGCCTTAAGATTGACATGTTTGGAGGAAATCCCATTTCTTCTTTCCTACTTATTGCTAGATTATTGAGTCTGCTATGCATGCGGTTTTATAAGATCATTACTTGTTTTATATTTAAAATATATATTCAAATGTAAAATAAAATATATCATATATTTACAATGGGAACAGTTTCAGTGAGAATCTCCACTGTTGTGTAGCTGAAACAAGGGATTTTCTGTACTTTACAGTTTGGTCTCAGGAGTACCTGTGTGGATGAACACGGCACTGCTGGGTTGGCTACAGCAGCCTCTGTTGTGGCCTGTAACAGTAAAGTTATACATCTCTCCACAGTCCAGACCCGAGAACTGACAGCTGGAGGTCACTGAGTCACACGTTTTCTCTTCCCCTCCTGACGCCTTGATGGCGCTCGCTGTGTACAGTTCAACATTAGACCTCTCTTCCCAGGATAGGACAGCAGTACGGGAGCTGCACTGCAGATTGACAGCTACTCTCTGAGGAGGACAAGGACCTGAGGAAGATGTTTATGTTTGTTTTATTGTGAGCAAATGAAATCAGCAGCAGCCATGCATGCACATTACCTGTAAAAGCTCACTCACGTGTGGTAAAGTTAGACAGTGTCTGTGTGCTGAGGCTGCACTGGTCGTTGCTGGCGTTGATGCTGAGACTGTAGGTTTCCCCACAGCTTAAACTTGTCATGTTACAGCTTTCCTGCTGAGTTGTGCACAGAGTTTGAAGACTTCCACCAACGACAGCCATCAGGGAAATGTTAGTTGTGCCATAAGTGCCGTTCCAGGACACCAGGACTGCATTGTCAGAGGTGCAGTTGACTTCCACTGTCATGTCTCTGGGCAGGCATGGGGCTGAGGAAATATAAATATATATAAATATATATATATAAAAATATAAATAAATCAAGGTTCCCAAATGAAAAAAAAAACATCAGATATATATGCTGAGTGTTTCTTTACCTGATGTAAGCGAGACCACTGAGCTGTCAGAGCTGTTGTACTGCTGTCCTAACGCCTTGACCCAGACACTGTACACTGTACCACACATCAGCCCTGAGACCACACAGGAGGTGTTTGTGCTCATACAGGAGGTGTAGTGGCCATTTTGGTTGTCAAAGTAGGCAACATAACCCAAAGCGAGGTCACTCTGCTGCCAGGATGCAGTTGAAGTAAGCTGTCTGCATGACATGCTGGCTTGAACATTAGTAGGTGGACACGGCTCTGAATGAAGAGAAAAGGGTCACATTTAAACGCTCACTCTGGAAACACAACCTGTGCATCACTTCTGATGGATTGACAAACCTGTCACGAGGCGGTAGGGTGCAGAGCTCACAGTGTTGTTGCATGCCAGGCTTTGTGTCATCACAGTGATGCTGTAGGTGTGGCTGCACTGCAGAGCAGTCAGGGAGCAGTGTGTGTTGCTGGTGTTACAGGCGACTGTCAAGTTTCGGTCACTCACAGCCTGAACAGAGTACGACGCAGCACCTCTCGCTGTGTTCCACATCACCCGGGCAGTACTCAAGTTGTAGTGGATGGACACATTTGTAGGAACGCAGGGCTCTGGAGGGAGAACAAGTTAAACGGTCTGAACTGTGATGTAAATGAGACAAAAGGTTTGGCTGAAACGAGCACCTGTGGTGAGGTATCCTGTCATCTGAGAACTGCTGTTACAAGTCTCTCCAACAGCCTTCACAGTGACGTTGTATTCCTCTCCGCATCGCAGAGGCCTCGGCTGACAGCTGGTTTGGTTGGTGGCGCAGCTGGCTGTGTGTCCTGAAGAAGCTGTGAGCACAGTAATGTAGAGCACAGCTCCATCGCTGGGCTGCCACGATATGTTGGCAGAGCTGCCCCCACAGTCGTAAATCACTTCAATATTGCTTGGCCTACAAGGTCCTGTGGGATCAAGAATAATATCAAGTATGGTAACTCTTTACAACAAGGGACACAAAAACTTGGTTACTAAAGAACAAGTGATGAGTCATGAACGAGCTGGTAGTTAATGAGATTTTCATCAGCAGTTTCTTAATAGCTTCCCTAATAATTTATACAAGATAATTATTCACTAAAGACATAAAGAATCTATCTGTTTATATAGCTATTATTGATTTTTGGCTCTCTTCCCGGCATGTCTTTGTTCTGTCTTCCTCCCCACACCTACCAAAGTTGTGGCAGATGGCCCCCGATGATGAGCCTGGTTCTGCCGGAGGTTTCTTCCTACTAAAAGGGATTTTTCCTTCCCACTGTCACCAAAGTGCTAACTTATAGGGTTTTATTTGCTTGTTGTTATTTGCGCTGTATTATTGTGGGGTCTTTACATCACAGTATAAAGCATGTACCTTAAGGCTGCTGTTGTGATTTGAGGCTATATTAATAATATTGAAATTAAAATAATCCATAGGTAATGAGGAACTTCACTATTAAGAGACCACTTAGTAAGATGCTTCACTACTTGTGGCAACACAGAAAGAGTAGCTAATATTGAATTGATCAGTAACGAGTAGTTTGATGCCACGTTGTGTGGGGTTTTCATTACCTGATGTTAGAGGGACCACTATGCTGTCAGAGCTGTTGTACTGATGTCCCAGGGCTTTGACCCAGACGTTGTACACCGTGCCACACATCAGCCCTGAGACGACACAACTTGTATCCGTGTCTGTGCCAACACAGAAAGTGTCGTGTCCACGCTGGCTGTCGAAGTAGGCAACATAACCTGCAGCAAGGCCACTCTGCTGCCAGGACACCGTTGCAGTGGGTTGCCCACAAGACACATTGGCTTGAATGTTTGTGGGTGGGCAGGGTTCTGAATTAAGGGAAAACAAACACATTTAGTTATTAAAATGCACACATGTACATACGTGTACACATGTTCCTTCCTGATTTGACTACTAACCTGTCATAAGGAGGGAGGCGTCAGAGATCTGACTGTCACAGGCCTGGTTTTTAGCCGTCACAGTGATGCTGTAGGTCTGACTGCATTGTAAACCAGTCAGAACACAGTCAGTGTTTATGGTGTTACAGGTTAAACTCAGGCCTTGCTGTGTCACAGCTCGGACAGAGTATGAGCTTGCACCGCTCCCTGCATTCCACTGCACCTGGGCAGCACTCACGTTATAGTGAAAGTTGACATTCATAGGAACACAGGGCTCTGGAGGGAGGAAACATTATAAAAGTTAGAATTTTTGAAAGTAAAAAACTCCCCCTGTGTTAAAAGCTACTGTATACTCACCTGTTGTGATGGTGGTGGGGACACTGGAAGGACCAGTACATCCGGGGTCCACTGCTTCCACAACAACAGAGTATTCCTGTCCACAAACCAGGCTGTTAAGATGACACGATGTGCCCAAGTCACTGCAGTTGGAGCTGTGTCCGTTAGCAGACGTGGCCTGGACCATGTATCCCGTGTTTGCTGCAGTATTACTCCAAGTGACCAGAGCTTTAAAGGTAGTACAATTTAGCTCAGCTGACACATTGGTAGGAGGGCATGGGCCTAGAAATAGAGAGAAGCACAACTTGGAAGCAGATATAGAAAATGAGGAAATGAATGGTAAAATTTAAGTGATAGTTTGAGATTAAACCACAGGTTTATGTGCTATTTAATCCATATACAATCTGCAGGGCTTTAATGTAACATCATGGGTTTATAGACTGTCTCTTGCAGTAACACCTGCACTATGTGCCAGTCTATGATGTTAGTAACAAGCTAAATGAATGTGCTGTTAGCATTTAGCTTCAAATTAATAAAATAAACACAAATATCTTCTTATTGTAGTGCAATTAAGAAGAGACCAAGTATATTTCCCTAAATGTAACTGATTTTTGAAAGATGTACATAGCGTGTGTACCTGTGAGCTTCTCTATAGGAGTGCTCCACTCGCTTATACAAACATTTGTGTGTCCCATCACTGTGAAAGTGTAGAGTTGACCACAGCTCAGGTCCAGGAAGGAACAGCTGCTCTGGGTGGAGTCACAGGTGGAGCTCACACCTGAGGCAGACGTAGCCTTAACAGTGTAATTCTGTTTTGTGTCACCTTGGTTCCACTTTACTGTAATGACGCTCGAGCTGCAGTTTTGGTCAGTAGTCGTGTTCTCAGGTTTACATGGAGCTAAAAGTGGTTTGGGGGGGGGAGGAGAAGAAGCAGGTTTACTCAACATATAACAAATTATGTTTTGTTAAATGTCTTGGATTTAAAAGACCTGCACTCACCTGACTGAACCTTGTAGTCAGAGCCAGCAATGACGTTGCAGTGAACAGAAGAGGACGTGACAACCACCTGGTAGACTTTTCCACACTGCAGGTCACGGATGGAGCAGGAGTCGGATGTCGAGTTACAGGAAGCTCTGTGATCATCTGTGCTGCTGATGGCCCAGGCGGTGTAGTTATCTGAGCCCGGAGTCTGAGACCAGCTCACAGTCATCATGTTGGTGTTACAGTCCAACTCTGCCACAACATCTTTTGGTAGGCAGGGAGCTACAGGGGAGCGTCAAAAACATAATGATACTATACTCTACATACAACAGACAAGCTGCCAAGGTGATTTGATAGGCTGGGAAATAAATAAAATTAAATGTTAATCCTTGAAAGGACCTCAAAAATCCATATTTTCGTGGTTCTCGGGACCAAAAACGGTCCCAAGTCCTTTCAAGGTTTTATAAACGGAATTTTTTGTATCACCAACTTAATTTGTTCTCATAAACCTCTGTAAAAAAAAAGAAGAAGAAGAAGAAGAATTACACTGTCAGGTTTAAAGTCCGACTGGGATGCTTATCAACTGATCTGAGCTATTTTCAGAATTTATAATGATCAATACATGAAAATTAAAGTAAAAGAAGAGATCAGAGAAACATTCTTCAAACACGTTGCGTTTACAGTGGATATTTTGTCCACCAGGGGGCACTCCATAGTATCCATGTTGGCAATAAGTGTTTTAAATGCCACAAACACAACCAGCTGATCCGAGCAGCGCATAAATGAGTAAATAAATACTTATACTTAATTATACTTATGCCTGACAGCTCCATACCTAACATCCTCGGTCAAATATATCCACCACCGCTCCTCTGCACATGTCCAACCATGTCAACATTGCCTCTCCAACTTTATGTCTCAAAAACTGAAGCTGAGCTGCTCCTCTTCTATTATATTTCCAATCCTGTCCTCCAACATCCCACTTCTAATGAAAATCTCATTGAAACCTCTTCTCTCCAGGCACCGCCCCCTGATCCATACTCTCACTACAGATCACAGTTAGGCTTCAAATATCATTGTCTATGCAGACCCTGCCTGACTTTCACCACTTCCACTTTCATCATTGCAAACAACAGGCTCAGAGCTGATCCCTGATGTAATCTCACCCCACCGGTGTCTTACTGTCATTCATTTCCTGCGCCACTCTCACATACTCCAATGCCACTCCTGTCTTCCTCACAGAGGACCACAGTTCCTCCCTTTGCACCAGATCACATGCTTTTTCCAGATCTAAGCAGGTCTAAGACTTGCTCTTGTAGTATAAATGTTTTGTCTTACCCGAGTCAAAAGAAATATCAGTGTGTTTGCTGCTGTTGCAGCTTTCTGTGGAGGCCACCAGTGTTGCAGAGTACGAGCGGCCACAGTGAAGTTTCACAGCGCAGGAGGTGTCATTAGAGGAGCAGGATGCTACGTGGCCGTGCTCCCCTGTCACCTGCACAGTGTAGAAACCTGCACTGCTGCTTTCATCCCAGGAAAAATTCCCATTGTTTGTCCCACAGTCCACTTGGACCGTTAAGTTTGTGGGCTGACAGGGGGCTGAAAGAAAAGGAGAGCTGATGGGTTATGCATGCCCCACAACAACTTTTGCTGCCGTTGCTATGGAAACACTCATTACCTGTACTTATTTCTATGGGTGGACTGTAACTGCTGCGGCAGTTTCCATCCTGGGCTGCAATGCGGAAAGCGTACCTTTGCCCACACAGCAGATTAGCCAGAGTGTGGGAAGAGTTAGAGGTGACGTTGGCTGAATGAGGGAGTGCGCTGCCTATCTGCTCATACTGTAAGACATAGATAGCTCCAGTCACCGGATCCCAAGTGAGGGTCAGTGCGTTGGCATCACAGCTGACATGACCCGTCAAGTTAGTGGGTGGACACAAAGCTAGGAAGATACAGGAGGTGAGCAAATCAAAAAGGATTAATGTTTCAGTATTGTTGTTGTTACTTTTTAGTAAATCAGCCTACAGACCCCAAAACACAGAGATGCTCCTTCCAGCTTTCTCTCACCTGTCCTGAGCTGCACTGCTGAGCTTGGTTCACTCCAGCAGCCCCTGTCTACACTGACAACAGTGACAGCGTAGGTTTCCCCACAGTGGAGGTCAGTGAAATTGCATGAGTCTAAATAGTTTGAGCTGCAGGTATGAGTGTGTTCATCATCTGCCATTGCTGTTGCTATGTACATATCAGCTCCCATTACAGGAGACCAGGAGACTGTGCTGTTGCCCTCACAAGCTGGAGACACGGCGATGTTACCAGGAGCACAACGGCCTGCAGAGAACATAAGAAAAATGGTTTCCTGTTGTCTTTCTGAAAAGTAGGGAGAGCTCTCCTCATGGACAATATATGACTTCAAGTACCTGCTGGAAAGCTGTAGGCTGCACTTGGATTTCTTGTGCATGTCTGAGAGTAAGGTGTAACGGTAATGCTATAGGTTTCACCACAGTGGATGTCATGGACTTGACAGCTGGTAGAATTGGTGTGGCAGTGGTGTGCGTGTCCATCCTGTGCTGTTGCTGTCACATTGTATCCTGTAGCACTGGGGCTTCCCACCCACGTCACCAGGGCTGAATGATTCAAACACAGCAGGGCGGCGCTCACGTTCTGTGGGGCGCACGCGACTTTGGAGAGAAAAGAGAAAAACATTCAACGACCAATCAGGTTACAAACACACGAAGTTTAAACTGACATGTTATGAGGTTGACATTTAGAGGAAATATACATGAGGAAATTGATGACGTCATATTTTCCCTTAATGTTTATAACGATTTGAAAGATGTAGAAACAGATGGAATATAAGCCACATTCACTAGAAAATAGAAACTAATAATAGATTGGGGGTAAGTTAGTGAGGGTTGGCTGTCTGGCTATTTCCCCTTATTTTTATTAATTGTGCTAAGCTGATTTAGCAGGCTGGACAGTGCTATATCTGTCCTGTCTCCGTACGCTCTTGTTCTTTCCCCTTTTTTCTTTCCTCACTCCCCAACCAGTTGCAGTAGATGTCTGCCTCTTCCTGAGCCTGGTTCTGCTGGAAGTTTCTTCCTGTTAAAAAGGAGTTTTTCCTTTCCACTGTTACAAAGTACTTGTTCATAGCGGGTTGCTTGATAGAGTTTTCTCTTGAACACTGAAGAATACCTTCAGTATTCAAGTCCCAATAATCTTGAAGCAACTGTTACTGTGATTTGGTGCTATATAATTGAACCTGAAATTGAAAAATCAATAATATACGGGGCAGATATGAGGTCCAGTGGTGATTTCTTTTCATCTTACTCTATGACAGGAAAAATGTCTGTTATTTACCTGTTTCTAATGATTCGTTGACACTTGGGCTGCTGTTGCACTGCGCCCCCTGAGCCTGGAGTGTTACATTCAAATCCAAGC